CCCCAAAACCCCAAAACCCCAAAACCCCAAAACCCCATGAATTGAATTCCAATTCAATTAAGTCGAGATAAAGGAATAATTTTAATTAATGGAAAAATTTTAGATAGCAGAGAGGCAAAATACAATTCCTAAAGTGTCATCTTAGTTCTACGGAAAGAAAATGACAATGAAAGCTAATGAAAATAATGAAGGTGGTAAAAAATGGGAAGCTGAGGATACAGAAATAAGTAATTATACAAGTAATCATGGTGGAATAACGGTTGATAAAATTGAGCATGACTGTTTATACCTCAAAGAGCAATCAATGAATGATGAAAATTATAACCTCAGAAGTAAAATTTATTTCGATTTTGGTTTTGAAAAACCTCATGAAGCAGACTCTAACAGTAAATGCAATCTGAACTCATTTTTATGCTGTTGCTGTGTGCTAATGAGATCAATTGTATCTAAAAAGAAGAAAAGGTTTAAGGAAGGTAAATACAATTTAGATCTCTCCTATATAAAACCAACCATCATTGCAATGGGATTCCCATCTAAAAGTATAGAGGGTTCATATAGAAATAATGTAGTTTAAGTAACATAATTCTTAAAGGATAAACACGGATCAAATGTTAAGATTTATAATCTATGCTCAGAACCTGATAAGTAATACAACAAAGCACATTTTGGAGATGCTGACTTTAAGATTAAAAGGTTTCCATTTCCAGATCATAATATAACCAGTATTCAAAATATCTTCAAGTTTTGTATTGATGCATCTCTTTACTTGCAAGATTCATTCCACTAATATCAAATGAATTAACAAAATGAGAAGAAACCTGCAATAGCTGTTCATTGCAAAGCTGGAAAAGGTAGAACTGGATTGATGATTTGTTCTTTGCTGATATTTACAAATCAAGACGAGACTTTGGATTTAGATGACTAATATTCAATGAATTACTATGAGCAGGAGAGAATTATGGAGGCTCAAGAAAAAAAGAAAAAAGTTGATGATCCAGGTAAAGTTAAGAAATCAAGAGGTCTAACGATCCCGAGTTAGATTAGACAGCTCAAATTGTTTTACTTATTCTTGAAGAACCACGTTGGCTATCCTTACTTCTAGAACTCATTAAGTAAATACTAGGAAATTATGAGAAATTTCAAAGAAATAGAAGATAGTACTTAATACTTTAGGATTTTTAGTATATCACTTGGACCTTTTACCAAGGAAGCTAATAATATCAATGTAGAGGTTGAAATATCTACACTTGATGAAAAAGGTGCACTAGAGGAATTATTAAAATTAACTGATAAAAAACTCGTCAAAAATATGATTGAGTGGTATGGATCGTGCTTAATAATTAAATTCTCTCAAGATTAGTTATTAAAGACCTAAAGAGATTTGAAATTTACTAGGGACATTAGAATCAAGATACATGCTGGAAGCTTTAAATTTTACTTTTGGCTAAATCCTCAATCAGTAAAGGAACACTCAGTTAAGAATGAAATATTTTCTACCTTTGAAAAGTAAGATCAGTATATTGATTCTCATAAATCACAAGTTAAGATTATTCCTCCATTCATGAATTTTGAACATCTAGTTGACTTTTAAAGTGAAAATTTCAGCTCTGATTCTGACCTGAAAAAATATCTTATCCCAATGTTCGTCAATTAAATGAAAGGCTCATTGATAAAGCAATAGTAAAGTCACAAAGACTCAACTTCTGATTAACTAGAGATGAATCTGAAAATTCTCAAAGACAATGTACAGAATTTTTTACTTAGAAATGTAAACTTAGGAACCTTTAAATCTGAGGAAAATAAGGAAGATTCAAACATATAATTATCAGAGTAGGGCTATGAGGTTGATTTTTAAGCGTATCCTTATGAGAAACTGTGGTCAATGCTTAGAGATAGAACTAAAATGGAGCTAGAGAACATAAACGAAAAAGTGTATGGGGATTAAAAAAGTTAGCAGGCTGGAAGAAAATCTAGCAAATTCAATTTTTACTCAGTCAAGCTTTAAAAAGATGATCTAGATAAATTTAAACCTAATAGATACAAAGACGAATTCTCAATGAAAATCATTATTTATGAAGAAGTATGATTTTTTACCAAGCTGGACTTTAAATTTTATTCCTATTTTTATTAATCTTAATTTCATCAATACTCCCTTCTCTTGCATATTTTGATTAAATAGAAATAAATAAAATAAGAGTTAATGGAAGGAGATTTAAGTCAAGGTATTTTCAATAATTATATTGATTTTAGATTAGAGAGTGATTGCTTACAAGAATGCTTCTCAGATTCTGCAAGAAAAAAGAGAAATTTTTAAGGATAATGACCTGCTAAATGAAGTTTAAAATCTTTGCCGGATTCAAGAGTCCTTCGTATTTGAAAAGTTAATGGAAGATGAGCTCACTTTGAAGGACAATTATGATCAGAAGATCAAAAAGATTAAAGGCAAATTTGCAAAGAAAAACGCAAAGGAGCTATTGATAAAATACAGAATTAAGTTCAATACTTTAAATAAGAAGGAATTCGTAATTTTTCCATTAGTAACTTATGATAGGATGAAAAAGTAGCCTAGATTTTAAAAAGTGAAAGCCCTGAGGAGTTTTTACAGGAAGAAGAAAATTAGCTCAAAGCAAAATTAGGATTAGATGTCGATCCACCACCACATTATGCTAAAATAAGGAGAGCTGTTTTTAAATCGATAGATAGAAGAGATATTATGAATGAATTTGTAAAATTTCATGAGCAATAATATATTTTAGAAATAATAACAAGAGGATGCAAAATACTAGATCATGAAGCTTGAAAAAGAAAAAAAGGAAAGAGAGAAAAAAAATAAGGAGATTTTAGAAATTCAGATGAAATTTTAATAGGATAAATAATAAAAGGAGTAAGAGTTAAAAGAGCAACAACGACTTCATGAGGAGGAATTAAAAGAGTTAAGGAAATAGGAGGTATTGTAAAAAATTGAAGAAATACAATAAAGAAGAGTACAAAAGAAACAAGATATGATATAATCAACAAAACAAATATTTTAGAATAAATCTCCTCCAAAATTCATTGAACTTGAAAAGAGATATTAGGAGTAAATTTTAATGCCAGAACTTGAAGAGCAGAAAAAGAAGTTGCAAATGATAAGGGATATTCACAAGCCTATTAGTCAAAAAGATATCTTGAGACATTAGAGAAGATTTGACCACTTTAATAGAAAGGTAGAGGAAGAAAGAGAAAATCATAAGGAAAAACTTAAAAATGATTTCAAGATAGCCTCTCTTGAGCTAGGAAGACTTAAGTCTAATATTCTAGATTCAGTTGTTTAGTAAGACTTGCTCCTTAAATAAATTCAAGAAGGGAAATCTAATGAGATTAAAAACTAAAGAAAAAAAGTGCAGAGTTATTCTAAATATGTTTAGGAGATGTACCAGCCTAAAGTTTATCATAATCCTGAACAGAGTTCTAGGGATATCTCACCTAATTAGAGAGAGGAAAAAAGGAAATAATTGAGGACATACAATTCTGTGGTCTAAAAAAGATCAAAGAAAATTACTACTTTTGAGTCTCCTGAACCTTTGAAAACACTTTAAGATGATGATTATGAAAGGTAAACTTTCGATAAGTCAAGCAAAGTAATTAAAAATGGTTTAGGCTAAGATAGTGATAGAACTAGAAATCTGATTTGGGAAAAAGAAAGAAGACTGAAAAAGAAGCATAGATTGAGTTTTGATCCAGATCTTATGAAACCTAATAGAGTTGAGTATAAAGACTATCTTAAGGAGTAAAGAATAAAGAATATGAATTCTGATTTACCTAATGCTTAAGATTATTTTTAGACATTTGAACGAAGGGGTTCAGCTGGATTGATAATTGCTAGTAGTCTTGATTTTAAAAGAATATAGTCTCCTGCCAAAAAGAATGAGATAGTTCAATAAAAGATTAAATTGCTTGATGATAAATTTAAGTTAAAAGAAAAAGCTAACAGGGTTATAAATAAGGATTTGGAATTTGAAATGAGAGCTCACGATAATTTGGTTGAGAATATCAAAACAAAGCTTTAGATAATCGATCAACTTACATGATTTTGATTATTTATTATTACTAGAAAAAACTATATATTTAAGTGAACTAGGGGTTTTGGGGTTTTGGGGTTTTGGGGT